ACAAATACAACATTCTTTCAATCCTTTGAGCAAACATTTATGTGCTTACACAAGGACCACTCACTCATACACCCTGTCCTTGAACATATCAACACCATTCCATCTGTGATCACTTTCCATCTATAAAAAGATTTCTTCTTGCAAGTTTGGACATAAAGCACAGAAGCCTGTATTTCTTCCAACAAAGTTAATGAGGGTAGGACTCACTGACCAGTACATTATACTCTTCTTTTAATGCATTCAAGGCCTGGAGTAATAGCACAGCGGGTAGGGCATTTGCCTTACATGCAGCTGACCGGGCCGACCCAGGTTTGATTCCTCTGCCCCTCTCGGAGAGCACAGCAAGCTACAGAGAGTATCTCGCCCACCCGGGAAAGCCTGGCAAGCTCCCCGTGACATATTCGATATGCCAGACACAGTAACAACAAGTCTCACAATGGAGATGTTACTGGGCCTGCTCAAACAAATCAATGAACAACAGGAGGACAGTAACAGTGACATGTTATAAAAATTGCATCCACATGTGCCACAACAGTTTACGAATTTTTATGTCAGTGTCCAGAAGTAACATAATACTCCAACAGAGATTTCAGGTGATGCCTTGGTCCAGAAAATCATCACCCTACTAACTTCCATCGTCTCTAAAATTCTGTTATTACTTTCTCCCATTTCTGTATCTACATAACAGAAATGTGTGTAGGAAAGACACTAGCCCTTGGTGAATGGTTAGAATCAACCACAATGGCATGGAGGGTGGAGGGTAGGTAAGGTAGAGAAGGGAACAGTATGGCAGTAATAGCTAGAAATGATGATCATTTTGGAAAGGAACTGAGTGTTAAAAGTAGGTAAAGGGATATTCCTGGTAGCCTTTCAGTCTCTGTATTGCAAACCCCATTGCCCAAAAGGAGGGGGGAGAGAGAGAGAGAGAGAGAGAGAGAGAGAGAGAGAGAGAGAGAGAGAGAGAGAGAAGAAAAGGACCTGCTGTAGAAGCAGGCTGTAGAAGCAGGGAGGGAAACTGGGGACACTGTCGCTGGGAAATATACACTGGTGGACGGATGGGTGTTGGAGCACTAATCACGAGCAACTTTGTGTCTATTTCACAGTGATTCGATATTGTTTTTAGACACTAGTCCTTCTAGAATCTAGCTTCATAAACTGGGTTATATACCTGAAAGCTGCAGTCATGAAAAAATTGACAACATTAACATTTTTCTGAGTGTACAATAACCAAAAAGTAATTAAAAATTGAGCACAGGATGAATTCAAAGCATTTGGGACAGTTTTCATCTGTATTGCATTTCTTTTGTTCTTTCTTCCTTCCTTTTTGTTTTTTTGTTGTTTATTTGTTTGTTTGTTTTTGGACCAGATTTGGCAATGCTCTGGGGTTACTCCTGGCTCTAATAGTCAGGAGTTACTCCTGGTGGTTCACGGAGGGGACCATATGGGATATAGAGATAAAACCAGGGTTGACCACATGCAAGGCGAGTGCCCTACTCACTGTACTATCTGTCCTATTCCATTTCTTAGACCAAGAAGAAAAACAGTGACAAATGGACAAAGTTTTAGAAGTTAGGAAGCTGATGATATAGTACAGGGATTAAGGAATCCGCTTCTCATTCAGGCAAACCGGATTCTAATCCCATTATCTCACATGGTCCCCAGAGCACTGTCAGGAGCCCTGAATACAGAACAAGGAATAAGCCCTGAGCGTAGCTGATGTGCCCACACTGCCCCCCAAATAGAAGTTTCTTTGCGTGTGTGCTTTTAGTATATTGCTTGCCTTACTGGAAACAGTGCTGGGCTGGAGCGAAAGCACAGCGGTAGGGCATTTGCCTTGCACACAGCCAACATGGCCGACCCGAGTTCAATTCCTCCGCGCCTCTCGGAGAGCCCAGTAAGCTACCGAGAGTATCTCACCTGCACGGCAGAGCCTGGCAAGCTACCTGTGATGTATTCGATATGCCAAACACAGTACCAACAAAGTCTCCAATGGAGATGTTACTGGGCCCCCTCGAGCAAATCCATGAACAACCGGAGGACAGTGACAGTGACAGGACTGGAAACAGTGATACTGCCTTTGACTTATGCTTGCACTCTGATTCTTCAGTGTATATTCTGCTTTATTAAACTATTTTCTATCATTTTTTTTTGTCTGACTCATTCTTGAGTGCTTTTTTGGGTTGACAGCATTAGCCCTCGCTGGGCTTTTCCTACAATGGAATCAGACACTAGAAAGTCTGAGAAACTGTTTAAGACAAAAGGAATCTAAGCCATGTGTTGACCAAATGCAGCGTGTTCGCCTAGATGGGATTCAGGCTGGCAAAAGCAAGTTCAGTCAAAAAGAAGTCAGGCTGAACAAAGTACAGGTTTGACTTCATGTGCCTATATTGGGTCACTAATCGTTACGGATGAACCATACTAAGTTCATAAATTAACCACAGGTGAACTTGGTATGAGGGACAAAGGAATGCTATCTTTGCAAATTTCAAAATGTCAAAATTTGTAAATCTAAGACAAGTTTTCATGAAAACTTCATGACATGAGGGGGATGTGTTGAAGTTTTCTCTCGAAAAGTAGGTTTTAGCATGTGGCTTGTCAGCAAATATTGGTTATAGCTCTGAAGTCTAAAAAAGTCCAAAATCAAGATCAAGAAGCTGGTAGATTTGATTTCTGATGCATCCAAAGTCTTAATTCATTGGTGACCGTCTACTTGTGATCTCACATAGCAGAAGGAGCAGGAGACCTCTCTAAGGCTTGGAAGCAGACCCATCTCATTCTCGAAAGCTCTCTTCTCATGATCTAATTACTTCTGGGAGGCCCATCTCTAACCTTTTGGCATTAGGATCTCAGCACATGAAGTTCGAAGAACACTCACACTCAGTCCTTAATACCAGCTGATATGAATTCACATGCCTACTACTGAATTATAATCGAAATCACCTTTTGGCTGGAGCGATAGCACAGCTGGTAGGGCGTTTGCCATGCATGCGGCCGACTCGGGTTTGATTCCTTCATCCCTCTTGGAGAGCCTGGCAAACTACTGAGAGTATTCTGCTCACATGGCAGAGCCTGGCAAGCTTCCCGTGGCGTATTAGATATGCCAAAAACAGTAACACCAAGTCTCACAATGGAGATGTTACTGGTGCCTGCTCGAGCAAATCAATGAACAATGGTAGGGCAGTGCTACAGTGCACCTTTTGGCATTAGGATCTCAGCATATGAAGTTTGAATAACATTCACACTCAGTCCTTAATACCAGGTGAGATGGATGTACAGGTGTGTGCTGACTACTGAATGATAATCTAAACCCTTGGTAGCCAAAATATAGCCTTCGTACATCACTTGGGAACTTATTTAAATCTCTAAATTTCAGGCCCCACACCAGCTAGGAGTAGAATCTGCACTTACACAAAACCCCAGATGATTCTTAGGAGCTTGAAAGTTTAAAATGCAAGGGCCATGTTTCTAGTGGACCCACCAGATCAGCAATACCTAGGAACTTGTTTGGAATGTGTGTTTCCTGGCTCCATCCCAGTCCTAACTGGCGTAGAACCCTCACTAAATGAGCATCATCACCTATTTTAACAAATTCTTAAGATCACATTTTAGAACCATAGAATCGAAGCCACTGTCCTGCCTTTAGTTGGTAACCACTTCTCATTTGAAACCCCTTACCAAATACAGTTTTTGACAACACAATTCTATTCCTTAAGTCAGCGGAAGCAGGAAAGTTAGAGCAGAGGGAACTTGACGAAAAAACAAAAGCAAAACTGGAGGAAGACACAGTACGCAACCATATGGCGTAACGGGAGGATTTCCTCTTTCCCCAAGCTGAGACACATCTTGTAAGGATTCTCTATGTTGGGACAGCAGAAAAGGCACATATAACGCTTCCTGGCTATCCAACTCGTTTAGAGACAGAGCCATCAATTTTCAATAGTCATCCAAAGTTTCACTCCCACCTTTACCCTTAAGTTTGTCAGGGGTGGGGGTGGGGGTGGGGTGGAGGGATTACAGCATGGATTGCGGCATTAGCAGGTGCTTAGATGATTTCTGAAAGCAATGCAGAAATTCTCTCTCTCTCCTCTCTCTCTTTTCTCTTTCCTCTCTCTTTCGTCTTCCTCTCTTCCCTTTCCTCTCCTCTCTCCTCTTTTTCCTCTCTCCTCTCTCTTTTGTTCTCCTCTCTCTTTCTCTTTTTCCTCTCTCCTCTCTTTTCTCTTTCTTCTCTCTCCTCTCTCCTCTCTTCTCTCCTCTCTTTCCTCTCTTCTCTGTCCTCTCTCCTCTCTTATCAATCTCTCTTCTCTCCTCTCTCTCCTTTTCACCTCAAATCAGCCACCGTGGGGTTCCAACCTATCTGAAAACAAACCAAAACAAAACACTGTCCTCCCATTGTTCATCCATTTGCTCAAGCGGACCCAGTAACGGCCCCATTGTGAGACTTCTTGTTACTGTGTTTGGCATATTGAAAACAAATCAACACCAGAAAAACTGAAGTCGGTACAACTTCAGGACTATTACTTCCCAGGAAATCTGCTGCCCTCGCCTGGGGAGGGGACCTTCCCTATCCACTCGCCCGCTCCACCAAGTCCCTTTGTGACGCTTGACTGCTCTGTGGCTTTAACCTAGGTCAATAAAAACTTGAAAATCACATAATGCAATCCGACGCCTCGTTTTCACCCGCCTACATCAGCTTTCCTAAACTATACTGCTTCCATTTCATTTTGTACTGGAGTCTCACCGGGGTCATAATCCTGTTGGTCCCCTGGACTCTTCCCAGCCCCGCCCCTCAGGCCTGGTCTGTGGGTCGGTCTGGACACTCGGGAGCGGCTCCCGCGGATTGCAGTTCCCCCGGCGGCCACCAGGGGGGCGCGGGATCCTGGTCCCGGGAGGAAGTTCCCCGCTCTGGCCGCCCGGGCCTCGCCCCGCCCCGCCCGCCCGCGCGGGTTCCGGGTCCTGTGACCGTCAGGAGGCTGCGGCGGCGGCGGGGGTGGGGGCGGCCCAGCTCACGGCAGCCGGCGGGAGCGCAGCGGGCGCGGATGGCGGGCGGGGGCGCCGGGGACCCCGAGCGGCGGGCCGCCGGCTCCGCCAACGCCGCGGCCGCGGCGCCCGAGACCCGCGAGCACCTGTTCAAGGTGCTGGTCATCGGCGAGCTGGGCGTGGGCAAGACCAGCATCATCAAGCGCTACGTGCACCAGCTCTTCTCGCAGCACTACCGCGCCACCATCGGCGTCGACTTCGCCCTCAAGGTGCTCAACTGGGACAGCCGCACGCTCGTGCGCCTGCAGCTGTGGGACATCGCGGGTAAGGAGAGCCCGGGACGCGCGTGCGCGTGTGCGTGTGCGTGTGTGCATGTGCATGCATGCCTGTGTGTGTGTAGGTGTGCATGCCTGTATGCGTGTGTGTGTGTGTGTGTGTGTGTGTGTGTGTGTGTGTGCGCGCGCGCGGTCCCTGCAGCTGTGGGACATCGCGGGTAAGGAGGGCCCGGGACGCGCGTGTGCGTGTGCGTGTATGTGTGCGTGCATGCCTGTGTGTGTGCATGCCTGTATACCCGTGTGTGTGTGAGAGAGAGAGTGTGTGTGTGCGAGTCCCTGCAACTTTGTGACAGTGCGGGGTAAGAAAGACACACGTGTGTGTGTGTGTGTGTGTGTGTGTGTGTGTGTGTGTGTGTGTATGCATACCTGCAGCTGCGGGACTTTGGGGTAACTAGGGGCCCCCAGGGGAAGGGCGGCCGCTGGGTTTCCGCAGCCCTCTGAACTTCTGTTTGCTTTGCCTTTACTTTGTCCTCAACTTGAACTCGCCTGCATGGGCACGCTTGACTGTGTGCGTGTGTGAATGCTTGCCTGTCTGATTGTGTGCGTGTGTGCGTGTGTGTGTGTGTGCATGCCTGTGTGTGCATGCCTGTTTGCCCGTTTGTGTGTGGGTCCCTGCAACTTTGGGACTTTGTGGGGTAAGGAGGAGCCGGGACACGTGTGTGTGTATTCATACCTGCAGTTGTGGGACTTTGGGGTAACTAGGGGCCCCCAGGAGAAGGGCAGCTGCTGGGTTTCTGGGTTTCTGTTTGCTTTGCCTTTACTTTGTCCTTAACTTGAACTCGCCTGCATGGGCACGCTTGGCTGTGTGCATGTGTGAATGCTTGCCTGTCCAAGTGTGTGTGTGCGTGTGTGTGTGCGTTTGTACGAGACCGATCCCTTAGGGAGATGGTTCCCCCGCCCCCGGGACTCCTGTGAATTCAGGACAGCCCAAGTTGAATGTTAAAATCGGGCACGGTAAACACATATGTGCCTGAGTAACTCAACCAGATGCTTCTGCTAAGTCTGTGGATTTTCCTTTTTGGATAAGTGAGCTCTGAGACTGAGTTCCCTCTCGGACAGTGGAAAATCCGTAGAGGCCATTGGAAAATCCGCAGACAGCAGTGGAAAATCCGTGGAGGACTTTGCCAGAAGTTTCCCCCTGAATCATTGCAGTACTCCCGGGAGAGGAGGGGAGAGGGCAGGTCTCCTCATTCTTTTTCAATATCCCTGAAAAAGTATCACTGATTTAAACAAAGTTACATTCCTAGCTATACATGGAGATGAGGAACCAGGTTAGTTTATTCAGTTTTATTTTGTTTTGTTTTGTTTTGAGGGGACTCACTGGGCAATGATCAGGGTTTACTCCTGGCTCTGCACTTATTCTCCGTTCTTCAAATGCCTTGTTCCCTTCCCTTCCTGGGTCAGGTTAATCGAGTGAAATTTTTCTAGGCGTTCCTCTCAAATTGACACCAAGATCATAGTATAACTGAAACCCAAGCACAAAAAATTTGTGAGTCTACAACTGTAACTCATGGTGTTTCACTAATAAAAATTTTTAAAAATTAAATTTAAAAAATTCCTACACACACAAATACACACACACATACTATCATAATTTTGTGGCCTCGGCTTTGGGTTTTTATTTAGAAGCATAGTATCTGTCTTTGGAGGCCTGGCAGGCAGGAGAACATGTCTCTTTGCTGTAAGTTAGGGGTGTCAGTTCTGGCAGGCGTGTGATCATTTTAACGCGAAGATGTTAGCTCTGGAAAGTTTCCATATGGAAGTGGTGCTTGGAGTGTCCCTGCTCAGTCATTATAAGTGTCAGAGAGCTCAGCCCGCAAAGGAGCACTTGAGTGCCAGCATGTCAGGGCCTGCCGCTGGTAGCAGAGTGTGTGTGTGAGGTTGGGGTGCCCACGGGCTCCTCAGCTGTGACCATGTGGAAGAAAGCGCTGAATAATTATTACTCATTTAAGAACAGAGTTCTCTACCACATGGATGTAGGAGAATCCATTACAGCACTTTTCCACCTCTAGAGAAAGGGGGATTGATCTTTCTACTGTGGGCACCTTTTATTTTTTTTGTTTTTTTGTTTTCAGAATACCAAAAGTTCGTTTGAAAAGTCATCTTGTGAAGCCAGAGGCTTCTTTCAAAATACTTCCTGTTGTTTCACAGTGCCCCGACAGGAGTTGTGCTGCTTCTAGATAAAGCCAGGGATTCTTCTGGAGTCATTCTCAGGAACTTCCATGTCGCTGTGCATTTCCATGCAGATGAGTTTTAAACTCCATCTAGGCAGGCTCTTCACCATATTCTTCATGGAAAGTTAATGTGGCGTTTATCTGTTATGACCGGATCCCGCTGCCTTTAGAGAAATGAGTTTAGATAAACTCGATTCCATGTCATAGTATGATTTTTTTTTTCTTCTCCCAGCCTTGAGGAAAAGTGCTTCTTCTCGATCCTTCCAGATCAAACCTCCCAGGGGTCTGACGCTGGCACATACCTGTCTGCATGAAGTTACCTTGCAATTTTGTCTAAATCTAAAGTTTCAGCTTTGCCAAGGAAATCAGACTTTTAAGATTTCAAGAGAGGGGCCAGAAAATAGGATGGAATGTAGGGTGCCTCCACAGCCCCACATGGTCCCCTGAGCATCACGGGGTGCAGCTTCAAAGGGTGCACATCATGACATAGGGCCCAAGCAGCTGTCATATCCTTGAACCCTTGAGCTGAACTGCACACCTAATGAGGGAGAATTTTCAGTCTCCTGAGCACTTACTTGGGAGGTCAAAATAAAGCAGCAGAGAGATCTCTGGGGTTGTAGAGGCTGTATAGTGGGCAGAGCATTTGCTTAGCACACAGCCCAACAGAGTTTCATTCCCTGAACCCCATGTGATTCCCGCATCCTTCCAGGAGTAAGTTCAGAGCACTGCTGGGCGTGGCCCCCTACCCCTCAAAAAAAATTCAGTGGAAGTCCTGGATATTTATATCAGTCAGCAAATACATGTATCAGTGAAGTGAATATGATTAGAGGTCAATTTAGTTTTTCAGCTATTATTAGGATAAAAGGCTTTGTAAATAGACTTTTTGCCATTTTGGAGGGAGGGGGGTTTACCCAGAGATGCTCAGGGCTTACTCCTGGCTCTGCACTCAGGAATTACTCCTGGTGGTGTTCTGGGCACCGTATGGGATGCTGGGGATAGAACTCAGGTCGGCCACATATACGGCAAACACCCTCCCCACATACTATTGCTCCAGTAAAGGGCTTTTGGAAGTGGAGACGATATATCTGGAAATTGAGAGCCAGAGGAACTTATTTTTAAGTTATACTTTATAAAACGGCATGATATCATGAACTTAGTTTGGTTTGACTTTTGCATCTGCAAGTGAATCTTAGCTTTTGTGCCATTTGAATTAAAGCCTAATGATATAATGAAGGCTGAGGCCACTTGAAAAATTCCCCTCATGGCTAAACATTTTTGCCGTATGCAGTAACAAAGTATTTAATCCTCAGAGGATAGAAATATTCCTAGATTGCACAATAGTATGTAGATCTGGTCTCTGGATGTGACTCACTCCGCTGTTACTGGTTAGTTTTGTTTTTGTTATTCTAGAGATGGGAAAAATGGTTACTGATCCCAGTGTTTATGCCTGAAAACTCTGAGAGACAAGAATTTTCTAGATATTTTCTGTCAGTGTTGCCTAGCAGTTTAAGCTAAACTTAAACTTTAATTTAAAAAAACATACTATTTCCAAGGCACCCTTTCTGATGGTGTGAAATTAGTAGAACTTTAACGTACAGTTGCAATTTATTTCAACTATTCTCTTAATTTATACCCAATTCAAGACTGCTTCTCAAAACATGACTGACATCTACCAAAATATTGAAATCTTTTGTAAGGTTTCTAAAGAGGATTTAATAAATGCCTAGGAAATGAAAATGCAGTTTGAAATATCTCTGATCTCTAAATGCATAATATAGATGAAGTAGTGCTGCACATATGTTTATTGTATGCTTCTTGGCAATTTTATAGTCTTTCAGGAAAGTTGAGTGACTGGCTTAGGCTTAAATTTTTTTTGGGGGGGAGGGGGTGGCAAACCAGATGATTGCTCAGGGATCACTCCTGACTGGTTCTGGGGGGCCATATGTGGTACTAGAGATTTGACCCAGTTACCACATGCAAGGCAAGACCCTACCCGCTGTACTCTCTCACTGACTCCTTTGTATTTTATTTTTAAGCTCATTCACTTAGAGCTTTTCCAAAAAATACAGTTTAGTCTTTATGTAATCTTTGTCTTTGTTGCGGAGTCAGATTTTTCCTTCTCCCCTCTAAAGAGTTTTAGACAGGGCTTGAGGATTAAGTTGATGTAAGACAACTCCCAAGGAAAGTTATGCCGGTATGGTTTATAAGTTTTACATGACATAGAAGCCCTCTGATATAAAACAAGGAAATGAAGACCCAAAGCAAACTTAGCTTGTCAGATGTTATCACTGAGTTGAACTTGAGTGGTAATTGTGAAAAATAATAAGCCACTGAAATATAAAGAGAGGCTGTGGGGAGATCAGGGTGATTTTATCAAGGTCAGTAGGTATGGAATTCTCCCGTCACAGCCGTCTACTGGTGAGAATAATTCTTCCTGGCACAGGCGTGAGCTGTAGCTCCTGATTTCAGAAAGAAACAGGGAGATTAGGGCACCCTTCTTACAGCTGCTAATTTTTTTTTGTCCTTTAGCATGTTTTAAATTTTATTTTATTGTGTTCGGGGGAGTCTCTTCACTGGGGCTCACGATTCCCCACTGCACTTCCTGCTACTTGTCCCAGCGAGTGGTTTGATGCTAGGGCTGAGGATGTGGTTCTGCTGTGGGGCCTTGCAGTGCCAGAGACTATTATCCAGCCCCTCCCCCAGCCATGCTCTGGGGCTCCCTGAGCCACCCCCAGCAAGGCTGGGGGAGAGGAACCTAGGGTACCTGTGATGGAATGAGAACGGGCTGTATGCACATCACACACCTTGACCCCTG